GCACTTTTTTGTGTTGCCCTTCATCTACAGACTTCTTTCCAGAGCAACCTTAGTCTTAGCTAAATGCAAATACAAATAGGCCAACCTCTTTTAGGCTAAACGAAGAGAGATGATCATGAATCTGGCACAGTACAAAGGTTTGTTTTGGCCAGAAGGAACACGAAGCCTCCACATTAAAACTCTGTGTATTCAGTACCACTAGTTTATCCTCCTTGGAGGTAACAGAAAACTGGAATCCAAAGGATTGTTTTCTTTTTTAATAAAATGTGCAGGTGGTCTTGGACTTGCCAAGATACAATATTTTTTTAAAGAGCTGAAGAGACCTGACTTCCTCTTCAGTATCTCTCTTAATTCCGCAACATAATAATCATGATCATCAACCCAGGACATAATATTAAATTAGTTTTTATCCCTGCTGTGCATTTTGAGAAACGCTGTTGGAACATATTACCCCCAGTGTATTGCGTGCTCTTAGCTCCTATTCCAAACTGCTATATCTGCAAATATTTACAAAACAAAAAATACTGTTTGTCTCACTCGGCAATGCAATTCACATGTCTTTAATGCTATTCCATATCAGCATCTCAGACCAAAACAAGGCACGAACACCACTGAAAATTATAAAAGACAGAAATACTTTTAGTGGCCTATAGCCAACTGCAGTCCATAAACACTTCGCTGTGAGCTAGTCACATGCATGCAACACTTGGAATACAGCTCATAACCTTTGGCTGCACAAATATAGACTTTCATCAACAAACTCAAGCAACAGTTCTGTTCGAGTAAAATCACACCTATCAGCAACTGACCTGCTTTAGATGTTGCGACCAGCTGCCCAGCTCCACTGGCACTACCAGAACACACTGACCTCTGCAGAGAAACAGCACCTCCTGGATTTCCCAGTGCAAGGAGAGAGCAAGGCTGCAACTGTTTGTTTGGTAGAGGCGCCACATGTGTGTTCCTTAGAAGTGTTTGGGTTACCTGTCATTGCATGGACCACTTATGCTAGAGGACTGCAAAAGTCTGACTCGTGTGTGGGTGCACTCCAGTGTCTGTAGGATGTGGGATTGACTACCAAAAGTAAGAAGCAATCTCACGTACATCTGCTGTTTTCAAATACCACTGCACCGGTCCACCTGGTACCCAAAAAGTTGTGGAAGTTAGTTTTAAAGGTACAAAGCTTAATCATAAAGTTAAATAATCATAACTGAGAATAAAGTAGTTTACTAATCATTTCACAGAGACGACTTCCTCTTGGTCCCTCCAAGGTAAGAAGCAACGTCACTACAGAAAGCGTTCTGTGTAGTAAAACACTGGTAATAAGCTGAACACTTTATGTATGTTATGAGTTACTGATTTCTTCACTGAATCTGAAGAGGAGGTCAGAGTAAAGCATATTTTAAAGTTTGAAGTAAATCATTGCAGTTTTCCATGAAAAAACTTGTTTGGAGCTTGACTTTGAAGGAAGCTCTCTTAGCTTAGTTCAGAGACAGTCTCAGTTCTTCCTGGAGAAGTTTAAGATGCCCAGCTACTGAGTCACGAAGCTTGATAAAATATGCAATAGTTTTAAAGGATGAAACGGAACTAATGGGTGTACGAACTTACTAAAAACACATACATTTTGTATTAGATTCAATTTGATTTCAGGGACAGAAATAGCTGCAGCTCTGCTGTTGCCAGACAATCTCAGTTCTAAGAATCCCTTCACCTTCTCTATGCCTTCATGCAGTGACTAGGACATTCACACAAAAATTATAGAGTTTAATATGGCTGCAAAGTTGAAATAAAAACATCATCTTAAATTAACTGTATACCCACTACACACATTGTATATGCACTGAAAAATAAACACTGGCAAATGCAGAGTGCAATCTTGGAAACGTCTCAGTCCAAGTGACTGGATTTTTTAAAAAGGGTTTATAAAATCATACATTCTGGCAACCGGCGGACTTTAAGGCCAAACTTAACTCTGTTCATTTTTCAGCAGAACATCTTGCAATTCCCTCCGCAAGAAGTTATAGTGCAATGTGCCAAGGCAGGACCTCTTACATGAAGTTCGAACACAACAGGCTGTTTCCAGACCAGAGGGTCATCACCCTTCCCACACCACACGACTCGGCTTTCTCTTTAACCAGGAACAAGTGGATTCATAAGCGAATCACTTCAGCGGTGTTATTTTTACGCAGCCTCCACACTCAATCATCCCCGGGCCACAACGCGCGGCCGCACTGATGCCGCACTTGAGGCGCTTGCGTCCCACGCAGCTACGGCGCAGGCCTTCGGCGAGGCGAACGTCCTCTGGAGGCAGCTCATGGCGGGAAACGGGCCGGTGTTGAAGCACGAAGGCTGAAATCGCTCTCTGTACCGTGCGGACGGTGCCTGACCCACCCAGCCGCGCTCCTCGGCCCTCGCCGTCCC